CTCCTGGTGTGGCGGAGGTCAGAGGTCACTGCTGGTGGAGCCACTGACCAATAAAAGAATGTTTGGAAACTCTGCTCAACAGATAAACTGGGGATCCACTTACACCCTCCTCCCTACCACACAAACATTTCTAAGCATACAGGCCAGTGTCATCCAGCATTCCGAGCCCCTAGCTTGTGGACTTTCTCTAGCGGTTCAAGGCAGACTGGGGTTGTAAATGGGCTATTTGACTACAGAAATGGGTTTAGTTGCAGGCTTCTTCCCGCCTTCCAAAGCAAGAAAATGCCCCCTCTTTAAGCTCAGCCCAAACGCAGTGTCTCCCTCCCACTCACGCACCCACTCTCTCTTCCGTCTCAGGCCCTAACACGTCTTAGAACGTGGTGCCATCCTCTCGGTGCTCTCTGAACCCCAAGCACGCACCTCAAGGCGACTATGAGGCGCGGTGGGCGAGGTCACAGGTTCCTCATTATCACCCAAGTCTCCTCCTGAAAAAATGCAATCAGGGCTCCAATAAATCAATTAACTAGTTAATTAGCTCACAGGATAACAAAAGGCAACTGCTAAATCAGCTTTACCTTTTTACAAGGGTTACCTCTACTAATTTAAGGAACCGCCTATGACCCACCCAGCAGCCTGTCAGCCCCTAATGGAATGTCCACACCCAAAACTCTGTGTGCTGCCACCACTCATCGTGACCTCCAGGACACTGTCTGTGTGCCAGACTGTAGAATGTGAGCTTAATTACATCACTCAGTTTAGGCTCGAGCCTTGCATTTAACTTTACAGCTGTTTTGCTATTGCTCCTAAGGTCAAGGTAGGAGGTCTTTCTCCCTTGGCAACTCCAAGTCACAGCAATGGCTCCCACTGGTGCCTGTCCCACCCCACCCCTCACGGTGACAGGCTGTGACATGCTTCTGCAACACCTGCTCACAGGGAGCCCGCCCTGTACTGCCCACACGGTGGCTCTGGCTAGTGGGGTGAGCCAACCCCTGTGCCACGCCCTGTTCCTTCCACACCTGAATGCTGGTCCCCCTAGAACAGCCACGAGGACAGTGTCTACCTGAAGAAGCGGCTTATGGCAGTCAGGATTCCTCGGAAGGATTTAAGCATGCGGATGGAAAACGAGTCACTTGCGAGTGGATAGAGACCTCTGCTGGCTACAGCTGTCCCTGCAGCTGCCTTAAGCCAGCTCTGAATCTTACTTAGCAAGAAAACAGGGGGCTGGGGATTTAGCTCAGCAGCAAGGTGCCTGCCTGGCAAGCGCAAGATACTGAGTTCGATCCCCAGGACTAGGAAAAAAAAAAAAAAAAAGAAAACACAGTCCTGGCTCCTGAGCCCTGATGCCCACATAACTGATTTAAGAGTTCCTCTTGTCTTACAAAAACACCCAAATCTGATGTCCCTAAGTTGGGGAACTCACTAAGTACAAGAACTTTTCAGATGCGGGTATATGGTCCTTTTTTAGTTACTCCTGCCCAGGTCAGGTTCCATCAGTGTAAGGTAAGTGGAAGATAAAATGACAAGAATATTTTGGGAAGAACATATTTTGTTGTACAACAAAAGAAGCTCTTCCCTCGGCGGAAGTTTGGATAAGTGGGTAAGTGTCCGCCAAGGGTTCCTATGGAAAGCGGGTCCCCAGGCAGCACTTTGAGAGGCTGAGTGGGAGTGAGTGGGAGTCCGGTGAGCACTCACTCCACCAGCTGCCTCCACCAGTGCCAGCCACTGCCCTCACCGGAAGCCAAACCAGTGGGCTGCCAGACCCTGGGCTGCAGCCTCCAAATTGTGAACAAAAGGTCTTTCTCTTTACTGCCTCAGGTATTTCATTACAGTAACACAAAGCTGGCAGTATACTCTCTAATCTTACAGGTGACCAACAGGGATCCCAGGAGTCCCCCAAAGGCTCACGTGTTCAAGGCTTGGCCCCCAGAGTAGGGTACTTGGAAGTGGTGGAACCTTTAAGAGTTCTCAAAGCAGCGGTTCTGCCCCCCACCCCAAGGGGGGCACCTGGCAATGTCCAGGGATGTTTTAGGTTGTCACAACTTGGGAGAAGGGAGGGTGCTAAGTAGCATCTGGGAGGCATTGGATCTGGTCATCCTTTGTGCCGAGTTGGCAAGGACCTTAACTAGATCATCTCATAGCTAGCGGCCATCGGCCAGGTAGAGAAATGTGAGGCTGGGACCTTTGGATACTCAGGTAAAGGGAGGCAGACGAATGGGCACTATGGTGGGGACCAAAGGACAGTCGGAGAGCAGCACCGGCAAAGAGGGCATGGGGGAGCGGAGGAGAGCAGGGGTGCCATGATGCCCCTCTGCGGTCAGGTGGCTCAAAGAAGGGTGTCCACCACCACAGGGGGTCACTGGGCCTCTGACCAGAGGTGCTCAGGGGCAGGGAGATACCCAGTGCAGTGTTCATGCCATCCGGGAGGCCAATGATCTTGCTAGGGGCAAGACCTTCACCGTTCTTTTAAGCAGCTGCATGAACACGAGAGGGGATTCCGCCAACACCATCATCTCGTAACAAAGGAAATGAAAGCACAGGCAGTGCTGGTGACTTGTCACGGTCATTCAATTAACAGGGACTGAGCCAGGGCTCAAACCCAAGTCTTCTGACTCTAAATGTGTCTCTCTGGACCCAAATAACCTGCATGCGTGCTGTTTTTAATGACCTGCATTCATTTCCTCTCAACTGTTCTTTGATTCTCAGCTGACATCAAAATACCAGGCAGCGCCACTTAGGGCCTGGGCACCCACCCTGCTCCTCCTGCAGATCAGCGGCTCCAAGGAGCTGGCAGCGGGGCTGCTGCAAGAACCAAATGATTCTCTTGTTCCACATGACGGTGGTGCGGTGGAGAGGTGACTGCACAGGATCTGCTTCTTAACCTGCCTAGCCTAGACTCTTGTGGAAGACGGAATGTGACTTAGCCTCTGAATGGCTAATTACTTTATTAACAAATAAAGGTATCATAAGAAGTGACAAACATAAAGAACACAAATGCCCTGACTCTTCAAAGGGTTTTAAGAACACTTTTTTAAAACCTTTTTGCCCAGGTTTTAAGAACCATGGGTTTAGAGTAAAAACCTAGAAATATCTAGTCTGCTGTCCTGACTCACTGAGACTAAGATGAGGTCAAGCAGTTAGGTCACAATGCGGAGACCAGGAACTAAAAGTGAGTGCACATTTGCTACAGAAAGCCGGAAAGCCGGCAGGGAGGCCAAAATCTGCGACCTGCTGCCAGTAAGAATGCCAAGACGTTCCGAGATGAGCGTCCCAGGCCAGAGAAGGCCGGTCCCTCCCTACGGGCACAGAGCACATCCCCAGGGCTGACAGCCAACCAGGCAACCTCAGCACCTTATCGCCGCCTCGTGAGAAGTCTGGCGTTGCTACAGCTGGGATCCCAGGCGTCCCCCAAAGGCTCACGTCTTAAAGGCTTGGCCCGCAGAGTAGGGTACTTGGAAGTGGTGGAACCTGTAACAGCAGGAACCCTTGGGAGGTCTGCAGGCTTCGAGGTGGACTTGCAGGGGACTGTAGACCCTTCCACTTTCCTCTACTTTCCCTCCAACATGGCCACCAGCCCGCCAGGGCCTGAGGACAATGTGTTCACCCGCGTAAGGGCCGGACCCACCAAAGTTGTACGGCAGAGTCGGCCTTTTGTCTGTATAAGTCGGTCACCTCAGGTCAGAGTGACAGACCTGACTAACACGAGGGTCACAAACACCAAGGGTGGACTGACCACGGCCGCTACTACTCTGTCCCTAACGTTAAAATGACAATCAGAGGGACCTTTCACAAAGCAAGGTATCAGGACTGGGGATTTAGCTCAGCGACACAGCGCCTGCCTGGCAAGCGTGAGGTCATGAGTTCGATTACTGGTACCGGAAGAAAAACCAAAGAAAAACAAAAAACAAAACAAAACAAAACACAAAACAAGGTATCTAGAGCCCATGATAAAGAGGACCAGACAGGACAGCCATGAACTGTGGGAGCTAGAAAGGAGCAGAAGGGGTACTGAGCTCAGGCCCAGGACGGGTCCATCCCTGCTCTGTAAGAAAACCGGAGCTGGGGCTCAGGCAGGCGAACAGCAGCAGGAGAGACTGATGACGCATTTAGACCCAGTGGGAAACCCAGGTTCTCTCCTCGCCCCAAGCCCTTGTCCAGATGAAGCCTGAAACCGACTCTCTATGCTAGGATCCTCCCAGCCTCTCCCTCCATCTCCTACAGAGGCAATTCTGATAAAGATTAAACCATTGAAAACATCCACAAAAGGCCAGGTGTGGTGGTGCACGCCTGTAATCCCAGCACTCAGGAGGCTGAGGCAGGAGGATCATTGCAAGTTCAAGACCAGCCTGGGCTATAAAGTGAGCTCAAGGCCAGCCTGAACTGCATAGCGAGATCCTGTCTCAAAAAAGACAAAAAAAAAAAACCAAAAAAACCAAATCCATAAAAAACAGAAAAAACACTTGCTACCAAGTCAGGGTTCATTTTCTAAATTTCTTCAACTTGCTTGATGTTGCCCAGTTAAATTTCTTCCAAGGGAAAGAAAGGAAGTGGGACTAACGAAGACACCCAGGGGGTCCCTCAGGCAGCCGGAGAGCCAGTGGGAAGGGGTGTCAGAAGGAGCGAGGTACTGCTCGGGGACAGGAGAGACCCCTCAGTTCCCTGCACCCACGGCAGCGCTCTTGCAGTCCCGGCCGGTAGTGGCCCAGATCCTGGCTACCTCAGGCACCGGCACTGTCACCCGAGGTGCCCGTGGCCTTCGGAAAGGCTGCAGCTTTGGAACCGGAAGATCCTGCCACTGGACTCCTGGGAATCACAGCAGCCTCCTCGTGGAGTCTGATGACCTCGGTTAGTTGTAACTGCAGGGCTTGCTGGACGTGCCCCACAGCCTGCTTGCTATCGTTTTTACGTCTGGGGAGTGGATGCGATGCGGAGACAGACCCCACCCGTGCTCTCAGCAGTGGAGACCCTGCTTCCGCACGCCCTGCCCGGGCCCGGCCTCTGACCTGTCTCTGCATCTCCTCGATCTGTCTGCGCGGGATGCTCTGCAGGATACTATACACATCGGCGATCTTCTCTTCCGGGACCACCACAGATGCCCTGGAGAAGACAGCAGGACGACCCACATGGCTTCAACCCTCCGTGCCCTGTCTTGTTTCCTTCTCAACACCAGAAACAACACCCAGAGCAGCTTCAGCCCCATAGATCTTCCGGGTGTGTTCTCCCGGCCTCCCCTTCTCCCACCGACCTCCTCCCCACCATCACCTCAGCAATCCAGATTCCTCACCTCCCACGCACCCTATTCCTCTCTCATTGGTCTCCACGTCTGATCCTCTCTCACTCAACACACCACTCTGCCCTGCCACAGGGCCTTTGCATGTGAAATGCCACCTCCTTATGCACTCTTCTTCCCTCTTCTCTGACCTTGCTCACTGTATGAACAGTTACTTACCCGCTGTAGCTCTGTTCACAAACCCTTTCATTTAGTCGACATTTATGCACAGAGGCCCTACTCTGTGCTGGGCCAGTGGAGAACAACTGGACAGGGGAAGGGAGGACTGAGCACACCTGAGGGGCAGGGAGGGAAAGGGGCTGAGGACACAGCAGGCTGGGCATGTTGCAGAGAATACCAGCAGCCCGGGAGGAAATAGGGTCACAGCAAAGCACACACTGGCTGCCATGAGACAAGAAAATGCAGGAAAACAAGCCCAGGAGCGGGGCGCATGGCCGAGGGCCTGGCAGAGGCAGGGGAGAGATGCTGGCAAGGGAGGGAGAGGAAGGGCAGCCCTGCCCAGGACTGTTCCTGCAGGGCCACCAGAAGTCAAAACCCACGCCACCAGCAACCCTGCAGGTCACGCTGTGCACTGTGGACCCTTGGTAAACACTGGTGAACGAAGTCAATGATTTTTAATACGCAGGTGGGAAAACGGAGGCTCAAAACAAGATTAAATTCGCCACAACCACGAATCCAGCCAGCACAGAGCTCGTTTTCTTCAAACCCAGAGGCCTCCCGCAACTCGCCCATAATCACAGCTACCCAAAGTGATCGCGACTCTCACTGAAATAATATTTTGCCCCCAGCTCACAGCCATCACCTCTGGGACGCCCTCGTTGGCCCCTCGCTCTCCTCAGCCCCGCAGCGCTGGTGTACTTGTCCATCTTCCACCACGACACTGTGAGCGCTCCAGAGGGAAGGTCTGACCTTCACTGTCTTGCTACCGCCACACCTGACGGTATCTGGCAAATAAAAAGTGCTCAAGGGCCGGGGATGTAGCTCAGCGGCACAGAGCCTGCCTGGTAAGCACGAGGTCGTGAGTTCAATTCCCGGTACCAAAAATAAATAAATAAAACATGCTCAACAAATGCTAGCTGCTGCCCATCAGTTTTCTGAGACGCAAGGAAGACTTCATATTGTCATCTTTCAAGCAGAGGCAGGCTCCCTCCTCTTTTTCAGCTTTCATAGCCCGTGCTAGGTTCAAGTTGAGCATCCCAGTCCAAGAATCCGAATCTGAAATGCTCCGAACTCTGAAATGTGTTTTAGTGCCAGTATGATACAAGGAGTAGAAAATTCCGCATGATGAAATTCTGCTTCATGCACAAAATTAAAAACATGCCTAAAACTTCAGGCTATGTATATACGGCATATCTGTGACATTAATGAAGTTTATGTTTAGACTTGGGTCTCTTCTCCAGAATATCTCATAATGTGATGCAAATATTCCAAAATCAAAACCCTGAAACCCAAAACACTTCTGGTTGCCAGCATTTCAGGTAAGGGAGACTAACTGTGAATCACAGGTTTGTCCTCCCTCCCAAGATCCCAGGCCCCCTCAGAACCAAAACTTAGTATTATTCATAATCGACTTTTCCACTAAGTATGAGATGAATGAAAAATGGGGATCCAGGGACATAGCTCAGCGGCACAGCACCTTGCTTGGTAAGTGCAAGGTCCTGAGTTTGATTCCTGATACCAAAAAAAAAAAAAGAAAAAAAGAAAAAATGAGTCCCGTTGAAATTGTTCAAATAATTATGCCAATCAGACTTAGATAAAATATCAGAAGAGCTAAAAGAGGCAAAGAGCAAGACTGAGAGGTACACAGCAAAGGAACCAATTTCCAACGATCTTCCACCTCCAAAGTGTGGTAGAAAAGAAATGGGAATAGAGCGCTGTCCCATGAACATAACCAGGCAGCGGCTGCGTGGCGTCTGGCTGTCCCTGGAGATGCCTCCAAGCTTTCCCCAGCTGAACACTGTGTGCCTTCAAGAGACCGCAGCCGTGGTCAACCACCACTGCAAACCAGATGACCTGAAAGCATCAAAATGCAGACTCCCCTGGATAAGGCCAGCGCTTTTTAAAGAGCTGTCCCAGTGAGTCTACTCTGCAGTCAGAGTTGACTTTGCAGTCCTGCAGGCTAGTGACTGGAAAAGGGTTTTGTGGAAGGGCCAGACAGTAGACATTTTCGGGAGCAGAAGCTATACAATCTTGGTGCCGTTACTCAACGCTGTCCAAGTAGCATAACGATAACCACGAAATACATAAATGAAGGGGTGTGGCCGTGTTCCAACAAAGCTTTACTTAGAAAAGCAGCCAGCTTGCAGATTTGGGCCAGTTTGTGAACTGCTCTAAGCCACTGGGCCAAGTCTCCCGACAGAAACGAAGCAAGGCAGCCTCAGTAGCGCAGGTTGGGTGTCCCTTACCTGAAAAGTCAGCCTCACAGTGTGTCAGGGTTTTGCAGACTGTGGAATATTTGCACATATCATGAGATACCTTAGGGATAGGCGCCAAGATCAAACACGAAATTCATGTATGTTTCATACACACCTTACGTTCATCGCCACAAGGTAATGATGCCAGCATTGTGAAAGTGACTATCGCCTAAGGCCAGGTGTGGAATTTTCCCTTGGGGCACCGTAAAAGCATCCAGAAACTTTCAGACGTTGCAGCATTTCTGACTTTGGATTTTCAAATGAGGGCTGCTCAACCCACCTTTCTCAAAGCTAGGTATGCCTTCCGGGGCCTGAGGGCCTTTTTATTTCTACTGCTGGCAGAACTGAAGTACTAGCTAAAGTCTACTAGGCGGTAATACCCACCTCTTCCAGTCAAGGACTTCGGAGAAAGGCAGGATGTAGGAGTCTGCGATGATAACTGGGACACAGCCAGCCTGCAGGACATCACTCAGTACCGCCTGGCCCAGCCGAGCTCCACGCAGGACCACACAGAAAGTCGCCTCCTGCGAGAACACAAGCAGAGGTTGAGGATTACAGCCCAGCACCTCTGACCCACGCATGGGCACACCTGCAGGCCGTCAGGTTCCTGAGATTTCAACTCTGAGGCATCTTGACCCAAAAACGCCAAAAGGCAACAGCTGTTGCAAGATGTGAAGTGTGTAGCTTTCGCACAATGCTTTGCATCTCCATGCTCCTGGGTAACTTCAGGGCCACCAGGGCTGGTGCTCTGTGCATGCCCACAGGGACAATCTGTTTCTGGGCAGGGAGCTCCTGCACTGGCCGGTGTGCCAGGCAAACTCGCCAGAGGGTGCAGCCTTCCTGCAGCCCCTTGTAAGGGAATCACTGGGAGCACAGGGCTCCCCACAGGACCCACTAAAGGAAGGAAGACTTGATCCCATCAAGCTCACCCCTCTGCTCCCATAGCGTGTCTAGCAGCATCTGCCCACAGAAGGTGTCCGCTGAAGGAATGTAATGCCTTGAAAAGACACTCAGACAGATGTGGTCTCTCAAAAAACAATAAATCTCATGAAAGCAAAATCTCAAAAACATCTCTTCCCTCCTCACTCCCTAAACCCTGCCATTGGAGACACGTGCAAAAAGGAACAGAGGTGTGGAGAAGACGGAGGGGAAGGACCCCGAATCTCCAACACTCAGTTCCTCCCAGCTGCTGCCTTGTCAAGGAGGGAAAATAAGACGTGAGCTAATTTTTGAAGTTAGAGAAATGGTAAGTTCAGAAAAACTATAATGAAAATCAGTATCACACCGTCCTCCAGGGCTATAGGGGAAAAGCAGCGCGCGAAAGGAAAGCACCCCCTTGGGCACCCGGGGTGCGGGTGGCAACGTAGCCTGGCCTGCAGAGTTGGCGGCCAGATGTGGACACACACGCTGATAACCATTTTTCCTGTCTAGACAAAGGTTATTATAAATACCCCTGCTCACATCAGCAGCGCTATCAGCCAGACATTCCAGAGGGAGATGCAGCCCTTCTTGAGAGAAGGTATTTTAATAATCTCAGCATGGGCCCGGTCCGTGATATTTCTCCTTGAACTAACCTGGTCTTCATTTTAAAGATGTCAGAGAACAGAGCTCGAATTCTCCTTGCCCAGCCCGCACACCCTTGGACTGTCCAGCCTGCGCACAGAACATCCCCAGAGCCACCACTCTGCCTTTGGCTACGGAGGCACTGCTACGCTGGCGGTTTAAGTAAAGGGCTTCTACTGGTAGGACATGCTGTAGGTAGCAAAGCACTGAACACCAACAAACCAAAAACAACCCCAAAGCCCACCCAGTCCCAAGAGAAGTTGGCTACACGCGGTCCAGTGATGCAACTGCCACCTTGAAGAAAGACGTTTCTCTGGACTGGCCTATGAGCACAGGGTCAAAGCAAAATACAAGAATTCATGCTCTGTCTCTATGACTTGCTATAAACCTACCAGATTTGCATTGCTGAGGTATAATGCAATGAGTGTGGGAAAAGAGTATCAGCTTGCATGGACCAAGCAGCTTCCCATGAACACAACATGCCAGGCACCCAAGCACCTGAAGCGTGCGTGCCCAGCACAGACCACTGCTGTATTTCCTTTTCCCCTGGGTGATATCTCATGAAAGCAACTCCTAGTGTTGGGGTCAATTTCACCTGGCAGCAGCGACCCCGCATCGTGAGGGACACTCACCTGCAGCACCTGGGGGTAATCGAAGACCTGGTGCTTGTGGCAGCGCTTGCGGACAGAAAGGACACCCTCGGAGAGGTTGGTGCACTTGTCCAGGACCAGCACGGCCTCTCCATGTTTGGCCTGCAGGGCTTCGAGCTCTTCTCTGTACTCAGGATGGACAGCCATCTGCGAGGACAGGAGGAAGTATCGCCGGGGACTGCGGAGGAGGAGGAGGAGGAGGAGGAAAGGTCACTGGCAATCACGGGCCATTGGTTATCGAGGTTAGGCAGACACTGACACCGCACTTCCGGTCACAAGTATTTGCTCACTATTTTCTTGACATCACCTAATTTTCTTGTCTCCTTTTTCTGGGAAATTACACACTGGAGAATTGTTCAATATTGAAACTATTAGGTGCTATAAGAAAATAAAGTATGATTCATTTATACTCTGAAATGTTATCATAAAAATTTTACTTGGGAAAAGTCCTTAAGGTTGTGAAGAACTGCTTAGAATATACCAAGTCTAGAGGGTCCTATGTGTGTTCAGAGAGAACGCAGTATTGGACCAGACATGGGAATCTTCTCCTTAGTTCAGTCTGAGTCTCGGATCTGAACAGAACATAAAGCCAGATGCATTCCTCCACCTGGGAGCGGGGAAATGGGGAGTTCCCGCAGATGCAGTACTGCTGAATGCAACCCAGCCCTGCGGTCAAGGCCACAGGGACAGCAGAGGAGCTGAAAACCTTAAGTAGAAGAAACACTCTTCACCAAAGCATGCAGCCGTGTCAGCGGAGGTCACATAAGAGAAAATGCACAGGAAGCATTTCCGAGGGTCTGGTGCCATGTAGACCTCCACAAGAGACAAATATGTGAACACGAAAGTCACATGTGTCCCAGCCATGCACAGGACCAAAACGGTAGGACCCCTTGAGCCCAGGAATTTGAGGCCAACCTGGGAGACATAACAAGATCCCCTTTCAAAAAAGAATGTCAACACCAAGTTAGTAAGGCTGAAATCAAGAGGATGATTTTGGAGAGACAAGATGGTAATTCCCTCCTGGAAAGCCAGACTTCCATGAGGCAGAGAAGTGGGGGTACAGGCCACAAAGAGGGGGTAGGCTAAGGGACCTTATAGGGTCACCAGTAACAACACAACTGATCGTATAAAGCACATTCCAGGAAGAAAGGAGACCCCTATCAGGCTTAGAAACAATACTTGCTTAAATCCGGCTCAACCTGGTACTGGCCACGAAAATACTAGGGCTAACTAGGAGGCTGTAATAAGACGGAACCAAAACCTCCAGCATTTGGTGAACCGGTCTCTCTCTCTGCTTTGTTTTGGTTGTCGTTCCAGCTTTGAGAAGTAAGGCCAATTGCTATTTTTCCTTAGCTCCTCAGTCTTATTTGGAGGGTCTAGCTGGGAAGAGCCGTACTCATACACGCGTGGCTGAAGGACAGCCACTTCCTAACTGAGCAAGTCATCCTGTGTCCCAACGCACGAGGCTTTGGGGCCAAAGCACACCAGCCAGAGCGCAGTACTCAGGAGCCACACGTGGCCAACAGCTGCGGGCAGCACAAACGCAGGCGCCACTCTATCTCCCCACAGGAAGTCCTTCTCGACAGCGCTGCTGCAGTGGGTCGAGACCCAGCGGCCAGGTTGAGGCAGAGCGGAAAAGGAAGCTACACAACTGTGACCCACCAAGGAGAGAGCCTGGTCAGCTGGCCGAGTCCCTCCTAAGTGACCACTCACTGAACACTACCCTCAGGACTCACGGCCACCAGTCTTGCTTCTGGGCACCGGCAGAGTCTCGGCTTCTCCTGCCAGCCCCGAGCCTCCAGGATCACGCTTTGTAAAGGGAGGAGTCGAGACGGCAAGTTACACCCTGGAGAGCGCTGCTCCCGGCTGGCCCCACAGTGGACGCCATCTCCGCCCCCAACGTGTCTACTTACGCAGGGGAACGGTTCAGATTCAGTCAAGCCCACAGCCGAGCAGGAAAACCACCTTACTGAACAGTGAAGGTTACTGGAGAGCGAAATGGCCTGCTGTGTGGTGGTGGGGTTTTCGCTACCCAGCCGGAAACTTTACCAGCAGCCGCAGCGAGAAGCCCTGCACTGTGACAGCGTGTGGCGTGGGAGGCCGGGTGTGCGTAGGGGGGCCCGTGGGCAGCTGCAAGGGTGTCCGGGCTCAGGAGGATGAGGGGGACACTCACATCTCCCCAGGGCCGGAACCCGGGAGTATGGACAGGGCGACTGAGCTGGGGTGAAGGGAGACAGCAGGCAGCACAGGGCGGGGTCACCAGGGATGCTGGTGGCCAGAGAAGGGAGCTCCAAACATGGAAAGGCAGAAAAGCAGGATGCCCTGCGGTGCTGGATGGACCTGGAGATACGAAGAAGGTGTGGTTTTCCGCATGCACAGACAGACAGAAAGCTCTCTCTGTAGATACTGAGAAATAATTACAGACTCAGGTGCACTGCTCAAAGGAACCTCAGCAAAGAAAGACTCCAGGTTCGAGCTCATGGAGAAGAAACCAAGTTCTAGTTCACACTCTCGGGGACTGGGCTGGCTGGAACCCTGCTCTGCCAGGGCTACGTATCCAGCAGAAACCGGAGATGGAGCCGGAACCTAAGCTCGGTCCCCTGCCCGCGTGCTGGCCCTCCCTGCCCTGCCCCTCGACTGGCAGAATATGCTCGTTTTAGCTTTGAGCAAACACAGTTTTGAGGTGGATTTGTTTTTCTTTGGAAGACTAAAATTACTAGCTGTGACTTTCATGTTTCCTCTTGGCAGCCTGGCAACCAAAAGTGAAATCACGCTGAGAACTTAAGAGTCTCCCTCAATAGTTATCACTGTAAACTCCCAATTTAGTTCCTTTTAGAAGGAAAATGACAGGAATTCCAGCTGAGGCCAACACAGCTGTGAGAAGAAGCTATCAATAGCAACAATCCTCAGCTTCCCGTTGAAAAACTACTGAGAGATTTAAAGTAAAAATAAAAACAGAGCTCTCACTACTCTGGGCGGCCCTCAGAGATGTGGGAATTCCCTTAAAAAGCAACTCTCACAAAAAGCAAAGAACCAACCTGCGGCCAGCAGGTCGCCCCCCATGGCCTCCCTCCCAAGTCCCAGGAGGGAGCTATCTCTACCTATCTGGGGTTGTTGCTGTGGTTGTTTGGGGGGTAGGGGGGTACAAGGGAGGAATGTTCTTCATAAAAGTAACGGTGCCACTGCAGGGCACAACTCCAAACAGGCAGCGATGTGGGACTTGGTCAGCGTGGGCCCCGTGACAAGGCTCACGGCCACTACAGGGCGGGTCCCACTCAATGGCCCTCAGCTTTCCCAGGCCGCCCTTGAAGATACGCCACTTTCATATGGGAACTTTAGAAACAAACTAAAACCCTGAGTGACCTGACTCATCTTATATTCAGTGTAGTTATACATAAATTACAGAGCTCCAATTCCTAGAGATAAACTACCCATGTAATAGTTTAAATTTCCCAGACTGAAGGTGATCTGTAAGTGTTGGCAGTGGTTTGTTCTCCCTGGTTTTGTTTGCACTAAATATTTTCAGTGTTTTCTTCCCGGCAGTAAAATCTGGAGGGAATTCGGACTCCTAAACCGATAGGAAGGAGCTAGAGTGTGCTAGAGCAGGTCATAACGAGGTTCAGGCCCTGTATCCTCAAGTGTGAGGCGCTGGGAGGGTCATTCCCGGGCGGCTTCTCGGCCGTGGTGGTGCTGCTGGCTCCCACCCTGGCACCCTCTGTGGCCAGTGCTGCCCGGGGCAGGAGAAACACACAGCAGGCCACGCCACTGGCCTTCCAGAGGTTTGCATGTAAGGTTGGCCCATCAGCTGGCACTGGGACACTCGGACGAGAGGAAGGTCCCATCACCTGAGAGCTGGTACGAAAGGTTCTCTGTGCCCAAACTGCAAACACACAGCCCTCCTGACCACATGCGGTACCCAGGAGTCCGGAGCTCCACAGAGGCAGCCTGGACATCAGCTCCCCGCAAAAGGCCTGCTGCTGGGCCTGTCCAGTTCTCCTGGTCGCAGGTGTCCATACGTGTTGTCACAACTTGTTCCCAGGGACATCAGGCACATGCCGTGCTGCTCCACCGGAAGACGATGCTTGGAAGCTTGTACCTGGCTTCCCTGGCCGTCGCTCAGCCCCGCTTCCCTGTCCTGATCGCGCTCTGCATCCCGTCCCTGTGCACAGCCACCGAGACTGGGCATGATCTGGGGGCCCCAATACATAGTCTCCCAGCATGACCGTCAGAAATGTCTACATACTCGTCCCCTGGGGGGCAAGCTCACTCCCCATCTCCTGTTGAGAACCACGAGCCTGGCCCACTACTTGGTGCAAGAGTCCCTGGATGGAGGTTCATCTCCTTTCCCAGCACCGCAGAACTGAACGGAACCAAAGTAACCAACATCCACAACAACTTCAAGGAGGAAAAAGAAAAGTAAAACAGTGTTTTGTTCCATCATACGACTAATTTAAGTGAATGCTCACAGAAGTGGCAAGAAAAGGAATAAGCCTTTCTGCGTAGGTCAGTTATTCACACTCAGGCTACATAAACATGCCAAATTCAGATGCTCAGTACAGGACAGGAATCTGCGCTGCTCCAGAGGATTCCAGCTGGCTCACACAGGCCGTCCTCTCTCAATTGATGGGAACCTAGCCTCAGAACAGGGCACTGAACTCTCCCTCTGCCTATGGATTCTCCGGAAGAATTCTTTTGGAAAAAAAAAAAAAAAAGGATTACTTTTGAATTGTTTTGATGATAATCAAAAATTTAATCTAGGCATAGTTTTGATCATATTTAATGATGAATACTGTTTGTTTGTTAACTCATCATCTGCCATGGTTTAAATGTGTCCCCCAAAACACATGGTGAAATTCAATCTCCATCGTGAAATATTAAGAGAGTGGAGGCTTAATTCCAGTACGGTGTTTGGGGATGGGAATCTGGGAGTTAATTATGGTGAAATGAAGCCCTAAGGGTGGGGTCCTAATCCGGTAGGGCTGTGCTTTACAAGGGAGGGACTCAAGCTAGGTCATTATGTCTGGCCATGTGATACCCTCACCACCCTAGGGCTCAGCAGACTCCTAACCAGGCAGCTGGACCCCTCCAGATGCAAGCACCCCATCTCCAGCTTCCCAGCATTCAATACTCTAAGCCCATCAAACCCTCACTCTTTATAACTTAATCTGTACTACTCAGTTACAGCAACAGAAAACAACGATCAAGTTTGCGTTTAGTGGCTCGTGAGCAGAGGGGAAGACCTAACTGTAAATCACAGAAAGTAAGTATAGCAAAACACAAACAGCAGACTAGATGATATGAAGACAGTGTTAAGCTTTGCTGTCCGATTGGACGTTTTCATAATAAATGCCAGGGAGAATGTGAATCATACATCTGAACTGGAGGAAGATAAATAATGTTGCAATACACAACATAAAGAGAAGCTTCCTACGGGTTCCAACGGAAAACACGGGACAGAACAGTACACTGTCACTCAGCATGCAACCATACAGGCCTGTCAAACCCAATGGACCTGTATATTAGTTCCACAGTCAAAAGATGCAATTCCACTTCCAAGAAACACCTTCACCTATCACATTAAATTACGCTAATCTCAATGTTATTAGTTTTGTAGATGTGCCAGTATTTACTTTGAGCTTTGTCTTAGTGTTGTAGGTGAATAAGCACAAGGAGTTTAGACTTTTTATTGTTATTTATTCAAGTTACAGTATTATAAAAATGATTAATCAAAAGGCAAGGGAACTTGAGTACCCTGTGAAGCCTTGTGAAAGCCACAGAGTTGGAGCATTCACATTTACCTATTTTAGAACTTACTACAAAGCTACAGTAATCAAGCCGGTGTGGGTACTGGCAAAAGGACAGCCAAAGATTAGGACCGAGAATCTAGGAATAAACCCACATATCTATGGCCAGTGGACCTTCAACAAGTGTACCAGGACTAAAGAATATGCCTTTCCACAAGTGGTGCTGAAAAACTGGATAATCACAAACCGGACATTCGCAAACAGAAAAACGAAGTTGGACCTCAGGCCTCATACAAAAATTAACAAAGGGCTAGATATGTATGTCAGTGGTACAGAACTTGCCTACCACAGATGAGACCCTGGGCTCTATCCCAGCACTGAATAAGAAACTAAAAATGAATGAGTCACAAACCCAAACCCAAGCACTAAAATGATAAAACTCTTAGAAGAAAACTTCTAACCTTGGTTTAGGCACTAGTTTCCTAAATATTAACGTTACACCAAAAATATAAGTAATCAAAGGAAAAGTAGGTAAGTTGTACTTTGCCAAACATAGGAGATTTTCCATCTCAAAGGACGCTAATGAGAAAGTGAGAAACAACCCACAGAGTGGGAGAAAATATTTTCAACTCCAATACTGTCAAGTATCTGGAATATATAGGAAATCCTACAGTTCTACAGTAAGAAGACAACTCAATTTGAAAATAGGCAGGCAAGAGATCTAAACAGACATTTCTCCATAGAGGCAGGTAAACGGCCAACAAGCACAGGAAAAGATACTCCACATCATTAGTTAGTAGGGAAATGCAAACTGGAACCACAGTGAGATTCTCCTTCACATCCACAGCAATGGTGAGACTCAAAAGCCCAGATAATGACTAGCACTGGCAGAGATGTGGAGAACCTGGAAACCTTACACGCATTGCCGGTAGGAAGGTACAATGATGCAGCCACACTGGAAAAGGCTATGGCATCTCCTCAGAAAGTAAAATGCGGAGTTCATGTATGGGCCAGGAAACTGAAAACACAGCTTCACACAAAAACTTGCACAGAAATGTTCACAGTAACATTATTCATAATAGCTAAAAATTGGACATGACCCCAATTCCAATCAACTGATGAATCCATAAATAAAACAGAAGTGCTGATTCCATTCTACAACACGGACAAACCTTGAAAACATTATGCTAAGTGAAACAAGGCGGATAGAAAAGGTCCTGAATGGCTGCATTTATAGGAAATGTCCAGAAGAGGCAGATCCACACAGACAGAAACTAGATCAGTGATTGTTGCTGGGAGTGGAAATAAGAAGTAACGGCTAGAGAGGACTGGTTTTATTTTTCAGAGAGATGGCAATGCTCTAGAATTAGATAGTACTACTGACAACAGTTGTACAACTTTTTTGAGTATGTGAAAAAGACATGAGTTGTACATTTTAAAAAGAGTGAATTTATGGTATCTGAATTAACTTCAATTTTAAGATAATAAATTAAGTTGATTCTGGGAGTTTATCAAGGGAAAAGAATCCGGGAAGATGATCTAAACCACAAGTTCATGAACCATTCAGTTTTCCTTCCCACTCGCTGAAGGCGGAGGAAAAATGTCTCACGCTGACCTGGACTTGAGAACCATTCCTTTTTTTTTTTTTGGTTTTGGTTTTTTTCTGGTACCAGGAATTGAACTCACGACGTCGCGCTTGCCAGGCAGGCGCTGTGCCACTGAGCTAAATCCCCAGCCCCCTTGAGACCCATTTCTACCACTGAACCGTGTGACTGGGTTTCAATCTCACCCGAAGTGACATTTTTAGTGTTGCAATTTCAGCCACCTTCATATCAGGGGACTTCTCTTATAAGTAAAGGATGCTTTATTACCTCTGGGCTTGTTTGAAGCTCACTGAATTCTCACCATGAAATAGCACCATTTTTAAACAGACTACAGGAAAAAAAAAAAAAAAAGCTAGACCAAAGGCCCACCACATCCAGGCTCTCAGCCCTTTTCACTTATTCCTTAATTAAAGTATGAGCCAAGTATGTGCCAGACACAATACAGTAGTTAAAAAGCAGACCTAAAAACGAAATAAAATAAAACAAAACACAGAGCCGGCCTCTGCTTCACTATATGGACAAAAGCCAAAGTCCAAAGGCGGCAAGCCAGGGCAGAATGAGTGTCACCAGAGAAGGGCAGGCCCTGCAGGAGACACGCTGAAGCCTCTTCTGTAACCTGAAAGGAAAAGAGTTCTGAGGAAAGGCTGGAGATGGAGACGAGGGATGGCCAGATGGCAGAGTAGCCACCTGGCATTTGAGGGAGGCGAGACTGTGCCCATCGGGCAGCATGAGGCCAGGCCAGGCTGGGGGCAGCCCGACTAGAGGTGCTAACGCCAAACAGGACACGGCTCAGGAGTGCACAGGGAGACGATGACAGAACCCTGGCATAAAGCAGAGGCGGGGGGCGGGGCACACAAATCTAAGGAGCATTTCTGCTGCGCAGTAGGCAGGACTTTTGATTCTGATGTGGTGGGTGGAAGAGGACGGAGTCAAGGATGCCACCGTTTCCTGGTCGGGAAAACCTGGTAGCCAATCCAGGAGTTCAGCTCCCAGAAAAAGCTGCAGGGGGAACGAGCCTAGGGTGGAACAGACAGGACACTCAAAGACGCTGGCCTGAAATCCAGGCCTTGGCGGCTGGGGTGCCCACCTCACTGAGCCGCCGCCGCCGTCCTGCAGACTCTGTGAAGGCGCTGGCTGTGCCGAAGGTCCCTTACCCTGGTTCTTTCTCCGGGAGAGCCACCTCAGCGGACAGCGGGCTGTAGACAGGAATGCTGACATCGTAGCCTTGCCGGTAGGTCCACGTAGAAAAGCCACCACCAGCCAAGAGCGCCCTGGAAGCAAAGGATTCACCCAACGGTGAGACAGACAGAAGGTCTTCCTTCTGTGGAAAGCGACCTGCCTCAGAATGACGGCGTCTCAGTAGTGACATCAACAGCGCTGAGTGAGTCACTGTTTTATAATGGTATTGGGCTGGACATCCGACACTCACAGAGCATCTCTCAGACAAAAGTGACACCAGATCCCTGAATCGCCAGCTCTCCCCCTGGGCCCTGAAGTCTTCCCTACTTTCCATTTCTTAAAACACATTACAGCCAAGGGGACACCAGGCACAGGCCCTTTGCTACCTCCTTCCGATTCCACCCATCTCTCCAAAAAGTTGTACTTTTATTCTTAACCATGTTAGCAGCGCCAGAAATACCCACAGGTCTGCACAGGAAGACTGGCACTTCCCAGCCCTTGGCTGGGACTCCCTGGGGATAACAGGCATGGAAAGCACAGGTGACCGGAAAGTATCACATCTTACATCATATTTGCCCGGCCTTGCTCCAAACTCTGCCCTGCGCGGTTCTTCCTGTCGTCCAGAGCTCCTCACTCCTGCTAACCTAACTCCCCGTTCAGGAAGCGGAATCCACACCCGGCCCTTTCCTGCTTCTCTGCAGTGTGCTTGCACTCGCTTCTGTTCTCCTTCACTAGGTAACAGTGACCACGCTGTTTAATTGGATCCAGCAAGCAGTACGAAGACACTTCATCAGAGGAAGGAAGGAGGCGCACATACCAGCTTCCAGGGTCATCTTGTCCTGGAGGCCCCAGACCCATCAAAATCGCTGTCTGGGGCAAAGTTTTACCAGTCACACGTACCCTAGCTGAAGCCACAGTGACTCCATGGAGAAACCACACTTTCTTCAATGCTGATTGCTACCGCTCCTCTCTGGCCCTGATGACAAACTATGTCCCCTTCTCACAGGACCAGTTTCAGTTCAAAGATGTCCACACCACTCCTGGAAAACCCACTCTGTTTTAAGGTTCGTGAAACCCAGAATGGGTGAGTGAGGTGATGTGCAGGCTACAAGCTCTCCCGCTGCCAGCCTGCCCTGGGCGCCAGCCTACTGATTAGGTCCGGGTCTGACTTCTGATTAGCAGGAACGTGGGCGGCTTCCAGGTCCTGATGGCAAGCAGAGCCACAGCAGGCCCGAGGCAGGCGGGGTTCGAGCTAGCGCCTCAGGTGATCGGGCCTTCCCACCCCGGCCCCAGGGAGAGCTGGGAGAGTAGAGCGACAGGAAGCGGTGTGCTTCACACCAGCTCCACACTGCCTTTCTTATTCTGCCCCCGCGGGCACACACGGCATCTGCATGACCTCGAGAGCGCCCCGGCTGCAGTCAGTCTTCACCTTTGAGCTGCAGTCTCCCGGGCAGAGCTTCCCTGGGCTTCAGAGCAGAGGAGGACAGAGTGCTAAGCGCCCCTTGCTTCTCAGAACACATGTTTCACACTGCTAATTTCTGAGCAGCACGTGCTGTTTTTCTAGGAGGGATCCTGAAACAAAGGCTCTGTTCCAACGATACAAGAGGCCAAGCGGAGAACTTGTGGCGGAAAAAGTGTTCGTAGAACCAGACTCACCGGGGCGGAACACTGTGTCGAGCAGCTTTATCCGGCACCCGCAGCACTTGCCGCTCCTCCTGACTTTGGGACCTCTCCGCTGCCGCTGAGCCTCCTTCCACAGCCTCTGCCTCCCACCGCCTGGGCCAGCCTCCCACAGATTTCTCACCCTGCTACCTGGGTGCTCCCCGTGCCTGAGCAAGGCAAACCTGTGAGTCTACCGTCTGCCTTCCTTTAAGCTACGCGAGTAACTTGGCCCGTGAACTCCTCAAATATAAAGTCAGGTTCTGCAACCAACAAAAGCTGAACAATCGTAAGAGTCACTCTTGCTTCCTGAGTCAAACAAACTGGGGTTGGGGAGAGTATCAGACAGGTAAGCCTGACAGCAGCTAGACAGTCAGTGGACCCTTGGTGACACTAAAGAGCTACTGTTAATGTTTACAGGTATGATGATACTAAAGCTACGTTTTCATTGTTGTTATTTGTGGAACTGGGACTGCATCTGAGGCCTTGGCACTGAGCTACACCCCAGCTTTTTATTTTTATTTTTTATTTTGAGACAGGGTCCCACTAAGTCACTAAGTTGCCCGGGGTGGGCTCAAACTTGCAATCCTCCTGCCTCAGCCTGCCAGAGTGCTGGGCTTACAGAGGCATGTACTACCACACCCAACTTATAGTTAGGGATTTTTAAAAAGCCCCAATCATTTAGAGATTCATAGGAAAAATATGTACAGATATGATGATGAAACACCCGAGATTTCCAGGTAATCTAGTGGGGAGGTACAGCTCTCTTATAGAGGTCTGAAATTTTCCATAACAAGTTCATATAAGTAAGTATCTACCCACATAAAAGGGTAAGTCTCTAAGAGACTTGTGCAAAGAAAGGAAAATAAGAATCCAAGGCAGTAACAATATTACAGAACGCATGTGAGAAAACTAACAGCAGGGAAGTACTGAAGACGTGTGAGATGCTCCCACTTAGGTTAAAATAAAATGGCGATGTGTACTGTGTTTGTGTCTAAACCAAGAGAAAGAAGATTAGAGAAATACAAACACCCTAATAGTGAGGACGATTTGTCAATCAGGAGTGAAACAGAGAAGCGATGAAAGCAGATTTAGCATTTGCTCTTTCTACACTTGCGTAGGGCTCACCTCTCAGGCAGAACGGACATGTGTATCATGTGTATGATTTTTAAAAGCTGACAGAGAAATAAAAACAGATTTAAGCGTAAGTGATGTATTCTCCCCAGTCCAGGTCCTCGAATTCCCTGAGTAAATAACTTCTACTTCCTCACGCCGTGACCCTAGACGTAGGGCGATGTCAGGCAGTCTAACCCAGCCCACGACTTCTGGTTTCCGGACAGTGTGACACGCAGCTCCTCCTCAAACCCGTCCACGCTGTGGTTCTTGCCTACTCTGAATCCAGGAGCCAAGACAAAGGATCAGAAAACTTCACAAACCACCTATGACCCCTTTCCCCACCGAAGGCCAACGTCCCACGGGCGGAGATCAAGGGGACCCAGTGCCCACTCTCTCTGCCACAGGGCAGCCTCGGTCACTCAGCAAACACACATACGGGAGAAATGGCCTGACCTTCCCGAGCTGTACCACTGAACCCTGGCCAGAGCTCCAACTTCCTCCTGTCTCCTTGCCACCCTGCTGCACAGTAGGGAAACCCACTGAACATGTGCATTTGATAAAAGCAATCCTTCTGTGCAGGTGCATAGTCCAAAGTGTTTGCCAAAGGCGAAAGGTCCCCAACGAAGCCCTTCTGCAATGAAGCGCAGGTCAGGAGGTGAAGACCTAGATTCCGAACAGCTCCTTTCCTTCCCTTCTCTGTCCTTAAAAGCAATCCCTTCCACTGGGACGACCAGTCTGTAAAGCAGAGGCCCTTTCAGGAAGGGAACAGCTTTCCCCTGCAGGGATCTCCCAGGAGCAGGTCCCTACAGCATTTGTGGGGCCACATTGCCCTCTGCCGTCCAAAGCAGTTTCTACACCAGAGTCCTGGCAGATCTTGGGGTATTAGTCTCTCCTACTATGTTAAGCATTTTTTCAGTTAGAAACTCGAGACAGACTAGAAATAATCATTCACAGCACAGAAGGTTCAGCTTTAATCCTCCGGGAGACAGCAGTATTCGGGATAGATTTCCGGAAGTGACAATGCTGCCCACACAGCTGGCCTCAGGCCGTCACTTCTGCTGGTGTCGACGACTTCAAGAGTTCCACGTCAGCTCTACCAAGGCCGGAGATGATGAATGAGTCCATTGGTAAATGCCTGGGACAATCCTATGTCTTGAGCTAGGCTGGCACCCTTACCCGGGGGTGCTCAAAGCCTCAGGCCACATTCTTCGAGAGGGGCATCGCAGCCCCTCTTTGCCCAGCTTTCCCAGAGCTCTGGCCTGGCATCACAGGCGTCACATGCCACCCTCACACGTCCGTGTCCTCTGCTCTGGGAGCTGGGGGTCTCCTCTTGTCAAATGTCAGCTCCCAGGCCCGGTGTCGAACTGGCCTTGGAACTGGGGTGCAAGCCCCCCCCACCCTGAGGTGCGCAGGCTGTGCTAGGTGCCCGATCTGACTGGCGTCCACAGCAGATCCAAGCAAGTCTCAACGGCTACGTCTCAGGCAGGGAAACCCAGAGAACGGGATGTCCCACTGGGAATGGGAACATAACTTCAAAAGGAGCTCGGATTTGTTTAACCCTCAGAAACTCATCCCAGGGACTGCCCCAAAGATGCCTACCTGTCTCGGGGGACATCCAGGGCCGTGTTGTAGTCTGGGGGACCTCCAGGCAGCATGTTGAATAACAGGTGATTTGTGCCTCGATCCCACCTACGAGAAATGAAGGGTAGAGAATTCACACGTCGGCCGTGGGAAAACGAGAGCTGGCCGTTAGGTAACAAGTACAAAAGCTCCCAGCCCTGAAGGAACAGGGCCGCATGCCAGTGGTGCAGGGGAGACTCCTGCAGATCCTAACACTACACCAGGCACTGGTCTAGCTCCTTGTAAAAAGAAAACAAAACAAAACAGATGGATGTGAACTTTAGGCTTGCCCACAACAGAACCATTTAAAATAATGAAAAAGCCATTTAAAATAAAACCATTTAAAATAATGTTCATTGTTTGGCTTAAGAAACAGAGAGTAAATAAAATACAGAGTTGACAGGATATATTTCAGAACACCCACAAAACGGAATACTATGCAGCCTTCAAATTCCACAGTAAAAGAATGTGAAAATTTGCAAATGGTATTCACAATATATTAAGGAAAACAAAGCAGCCAAAGGGTATGCAGAGAGTGGCACCATTTTTGAGGGCGAAAGGTATAGACAGACGTGTGTGTCTGTTTCTTATACAAAAAAGACCAAAAAGGAACCTTAAAACATTAATAAGTGGTTATCTCTTAGAGGCAGGCTTAGTGCATGAACTCTACATTCTTTATCTCAATTTTCATTCATTTGTTTGTAGTACTGCAGACTACAAGGTCTTTGCACAAAGCTACACCCCCAGCCTTTTCAATTTATTTATTTGTTTTGTTTTGAGACAGGGTCTCGCTAAAGTGCTAAATTACCTAGGCTAGGCCTGAATTTGCCAACCTCCTGCCTCAGCCTCCTAGAGCACTGGGATTATAGGTGAGTGCCACCACACCCAGCTACACATGTACTTTGGGATGAAGTGGGGGTCGTGTGTTTGAATTGAAAAGGATGAGTGCAGAAGGGACGGTAAACTTAGACGGTAAACTCTAAGGAGCTCAGGCTGCTCACCGCCTGTCCTGCAGGAAGCTGGCCCAAGAGAGGGCCCTCCCTGCCCTGCCCTGCCCTGCCCTGCCCTGCCCCTTGGCGCCCCAGGGTACCTGGAGAGCTGCGCCAGGGCCTGCGCCGTCTCGCGGATGCGCAGCGCGTGCTGGCTCAGCAGGTCGATGGACGGCACGAAGAGGCAGGCGCGGCTGATGTCCTCGGTGTAGTAGTCGCTGTCCGCGATGGCGGAGAGCAGCTCGTTATACTCCCGCGAGATGGTGTCGCTGACCGGCACGCCGAGCTCGTCCACGTACTTCTTCAGGGAGTAGATGTACACCTTGATCTTGTTCTTGGGGTTGAAGCCGCAGCGGTAGACGTCGAAGCAGGTGTGCATCCTGCAGCTGAGGTCTCCGCGCTCGGGCACCGGGCTGTCGCTGGGCAGCCTGACCACGGGCAGGGCGGCGCTGCGCTTCTCCACGGCCCAGTCGCCCGAGGCCTCGATGGAGTGCGGCCAGAACTGGAACACGCCCGTGGCCAGCAGCCCCAGCAGCACCACGGAGAAGAGCGCCACGTAGTAGATGCGGTGCTTGGTCTTCATCCTCGGGATGAGGGCGGGACCCCGGGTGCTGTGCTTGACCGACGCGCACATGCTGACCCCCGCCTCTCCTCCGCCTGCCGGGAGAGGAGAAAGCCAGGGGTCAGGGTGGGCGACACCCCCACGGAAGAGCACTTCTGACTTCAGTTTTTCTATTTCTTTCCCTCAAGGAGTTGGATAAGATAAGAAAGGGATTTTTCACCCTCCTAGCCAATAAACAAACACAAACGTAGATGCTGGTACATATGACTCCATGGCCTATGGCATCATTGAATACTTAGTACTACCTACAACCATCTAAGATAAATATCAACACGATATAAAATGACAACTACAGCTATAAATTCATATTCACCTTAAGCATAAGCTGCTATGTATGGATTTGCAACTTAAGGATATCCATGCGTCAGGTGAGAAGGGTATGCAGGCCAAAGAAGAAAAACGCAAAGCGGACAGCTAAGGACAGTTATCTTACTATGAAACGCGTGCCCAACCTGAAGCGATGCTCTGCCTGCACAGCTGATGTTAGCTATTCTACAGTCTGCTCTTGTTCGCTTATTCACCCCAAGCAAAGGTGGGGAGCAAAGCGAAGCTCCTACTCGAGGGAGAGGAGACGGACCACACTGCACCAAAATGCAGAACGGGCAAGCGTCGGCAAAGTGCAGAAAGAACCAGGCTTTCATCCCTAAATAAAATACATGCTGCTAGCTTGTCGTGAAAGGGACGGCTGGCCTACTCAGATGGGAGGAAGGAAGGAATAAGGAAGCAGACAGGGCAGCAGAGAGGAAGAGAGAGAGAAGGAAGAGGAGAGGGACAGGACGCTGGGGTGGACCCCTTTCCAAAGACAGAGGCCAACCGTGCTTCCCCTCTGCAAGCAGAACGCACAGGACGCTTCTAGCAAGAGGCAGAAACCGAGCTGCTTCCCCCAGGGCTGGACTCTCTTCTGTGATGTGATCTGCCTGAGAGACTATGACAGAAGTCACAGCCCAGGGACTCTGGAGCCTTCGGAGAGAAGAAGCTCCTGCTCTGTCCTCATGGGGCCCTTAGAGCTGCCAGGAAGGGAGAAGCCCTGGGGCAGGGGCACCCCCCTCTGGAATCACCTGGAGCCCAGAGGAGCCATCCCCACTTGGCTCTGCGCACGCAGACTGCTGGCTTACGAGCGAAGAACGGACGGCTGCTACTGTCGCCGTGCTGTTTTTCGGTGGTGTGTCACCCAGCACTCGCTAAATGAAACTGCCCCAAAGCATCACAGACTGAGTGGTAATAAAGGTAAATGTTTAGTCCTCAGCTGAAAGGCCAGAGTTCCCCCACACACCACAATTTAAGATCCTTACCAAACCAACTTCTGAGCCTTGTGCCCGTCTGCCTTACGGGGAGGGCACAGCCTGGAGTGCGACTCCGCTGTCACCAACTTACCACAAGACAGCAGTGCGCTACCTTGGCAACCACACGGCGAAGTCCCAATCTATAAAGCAGTCTCCTCGTACTCACTGGGGAGAACCATCAAAGGAAGGAGCTGATAAGCTCTGCGGCTTCCCGAAATCACCTTCCCTTTGGGTAAACGCGGCACCTCCCACCCCGGCCACCCACTCAGGAGAACTGCTTCCGACCAGCTAGCAGGGTATGGCCCGGCCTTGACTATTTACATCTCGGTAGGCTTTGGTTAAAATGTGCCAGATGGTCAGGAATGGTTTCAACGTGCATTTCTCTGAGACCGTGAACCGGGGCACATGAAGGAATTAGCCTGTCACAGACCGATGTACGGATGTTACGACAGCTCACGCTGTGGTCTGTGGGGTACACACAGCAGCCACTCAACACTGCTGACAGACTCTATGACAGAACCGTGAGCACGAGAACCGCTCCACTCCTGCTGTCACCATTAACAACCCACGGCATGCACCCAGCCCTCCCCCACCGCCACCCCTAAGCTGCCCAATGGCCACTCTGGGTCCCTCCTGAGTCCATGGAGAGGTGGAACGGGACAAACACACACAGGAGGCCACACTCTACTGGCCCCGTGCAAAGCTTGCCTGCAGGTGCTCCAGGTCAACTTACTGACCCTGGACCCGTCAACAGCCGGCCTCAGACCCTGCTAAAGCAGGTATCTCGGCCTGAAGCTTGGTTTTTATAGGTTTAAAATAGGGTCATGGAATCTGTCATTCAGCAAGCTCCTCACGTGCTTCTTTTGGGCAATCAGGCTCAAAAGCTTTGCTGATATGCCACTGTACCTTTTAACAGTCGTTTCAGGTTTTTTTCTTAACCTAAAACCCACAGGATGAAATAATGTTTTGTAACTGTGACCCAATATAGACAGGTATATAAAAGTTTCACAAGAAAAAGAAAAAAAAAAAAAAGTTTCACAAAAAAGTGATGCTTCACCTTATAACATATAACATATTAACTATAGAACATGTAATGATTCCTCTTTCTATTGTACTAGTGCTTTTTAAAGAATTCTAGGAAGTGGGTGTGGTGGTGCACACCTGTAATTTCGACACTCAAGAGGCTGAGGCAGAAGGATTGCCGTGAGTTCGAGGTCAGCCTGGGCTACATACTGAGGTCAAAGATAGCCTGAACTGTATAGTGAGACCCTGCCTCAAAAAAACCCAATAAATAAATAAAGAAATAAATCTTGCCATAATCTATTAGGTCAGGGATCTCACCCAGTAATGGGCACCCACAGTTTGGAAGATGCTCGTTTTCACATATAGCAAAATTGGGGTTACAGGAACAATACATATGAGGTCTACTGATTTTCATGAGTTGCACATTAACTATAAAAAGATATTGCACAACCAAATAAACCTAAAGATAATCAGATATAGTTTTGAAAGCATAAACATTTTTAATTAAAAAAACATAATTTTTAATTAAAAAACAAAACAGAAATGAGAAACAAAGCTAAAAGTTGGTTTCATTAAAAAAGATCACCAGGGGCTGGGGATTTAGCTCAGCGGCAAAAGCGCCTGCCTGGCAAGCGCAAGGTCGTGAGTTCGGTTCCTGGTACCAGAGAAAAACCAAAAAAAAAAAAAGATCACCAAAAATGGATGACATAATTCTGATAAGGTTACTCAAGATAAAAGGAAGAAATGAACAATAATTGAAATAAAAAGAGGAACGTAACTCAAAATACTAAAAAGATAACATGCTATCAGTGAAACTGTGGCAATACATTTGAAAACCTGGATGGGTGGAAAGAAAATTTTAAACACACACATCAGAGTCTCAAGCAGAAACGGCTAACCGGGGAGCTCTTTAAATTAAAAGTTCAGAAATCTCCCCATAGAGAACTTCCAAGCCCAAAAGATTTTCAGGAAACAGTAATTCCAATTTTACACAAGATACTCTAGAACTCACAAGAGAGGGAACTCTCTCTTTTTGTAGAGGCTTGTTTTAGAAGCTGGCGTAGTCCCAGTATCAAAACTTTATGACAGCGGTTCTCGAAGTACAGTCTAGGCACCCCCACAGGTAAACAGGACATTTTCAAAGGGTCCGAACTATGTCTATAATAACACTGATGCTATTTGCTTTTTCATTTATCTCCAAAAGCTCTCTGACATACGACATCATGAAAACAGTATCAATTCAAAGATTCCAGATGCTCAACTCAAAGCAGAAGAATATCTGTAAAGGAAACCATACCAAGCTTTATCCAAGGAAAGTGCTGAAAAAAAACCTAAAGGAAAGTTTAGCTTTAGCCAGATGGAAAATCTATTCGGGTTGGGTTTTAACACTAAATGTAAAAGGCAAAATTACAAAATATTCAGAACACAACAGAGAAGACGGACAGCTTCTGGCAGAATTATTTCCAAAATGAAATTAAAAAAAAAAAAAACACAAAAAGATAAAATGAAGATTTAGTGTTATCATTAAGAGTTTTTTCATCTAAACCACCGTGAGGTGGTCAAAGACATGCTACAAGCCTAAAAAAGGTACTGGCAGCTCACATAACCGTTAAGGACTGACACCCGGGGTGAAGAGCTCTGAAGAACAGTAAGAGAAGACAAAGCCAGGCGTGGTGGTCCACACCTGCAACCCCACAGCCTGGGAAGCTGAGGCAGGAGGATGGCAAATTCAAGTCACGACTGGGCAACTTCACAAGAACTTGTCTCAAAATTTGGAGAAACATTTCAAGGGCTGAGGACATAGTCCAGTGCAAAGACCCTGGGTACCATCCTTGCAAGTTTGACCTCAGACTGGGCAACTTAGGAAAGGGGATGTGAGGCCCTGGGCTCGATCCCCAATACTGCAATCAATACACTGATCAATTAATAAATACAAACACTAGAGGAAAGCTGGCAGAGGTGGCTTCCCTCCTTGCCTGGCGAGCAAGTGCTCCCTTCAGCCGACCCTCTCCTCCCCGGCCTCCACGCCACTAGGACCCCATGTCTGAAGAGTCACTCCTCACGGGTCCCCCATACCTGCTGGTCCCCACGAGCAGAGCCTGTGACCCTGCGGGAACGGCAGGCCTCCCCACCTAGGCGACGCTGAGACGGGAGGGCAGTGGAGGCAGACCTAGAGGGGGACCGAGCCTCAGCTCATGGACCGGCCGCCTTCAGAGAGGCCCGAGAGGTGCCAGGCCAGAGGGATCCAGGGCATTCGACATCCTAGCGCCTTCACCCACGCTCTCTGTCGCTGGGCTCTGTCCCACTCAGCCCCTGCCACAAGGAGACAGGAGAGGCGACCTGCATGGTTCGGCCTGCGCCTCGCCTCCATCAGTCAGGAGGTCTGAGCCCAACCTCCTCTAACCCCAGCCTTCAAAAGGATGACAAGGGGCTGGGGATTTAGCTCAGCGGCAAAAGCGCCTGCCTTGCATGTGCAAGGCTGTGAGTTCGGTTCCCGGTACCGGAGAAAAACCAAAAAAAAAAAAAAAAAAATTAAAAAGGATGACAAGAGCCAGCCACTCCGCCACCCTCCCCGTCACCACACGCTCTGGGGACCTGCAGCGACAGGGCGGCCACCGCGTTCCCTCCCACCTGACCTCAGCGCAGCCCAAGCCCAGGGCCCCCAAGCCCTCACTTAACACTGGCAGCGGGGTCCTGGCTGCCAGCCAAAGGGGAGACGTTCCGCTCCTGAGCGCTGTTCCTGGGGCCCCTTCCAGGACCAGCTGTCTTACACTATGCTCTGATAACTAAGAACAAGCACCCAGGATGCAGGCAGCTAGGGAGGAGAGGGGTCGGGGTGAGCAGATGTCTGCAAGGAGCGTCCCTCAGCCCTGTGATGCCCCTCTGCCATCCATGCGGGACACACCGCAGGAGGCCAGGGAGCCCAGCCAGGAAGAAGGAACCTCTCCCCACGCCACAGAAAAGCACAGAAGTCTGTACCAAACACTGAGGAATAAAGCTGCAGCCACTGAAAGCGCTTGAGAAAGAATAAACACCCATGATAAAAGGGAAAATCAGCCGGGGATTTAGCTCAGTGGCATAAGCGCCTGCCTGGCAAGCGCAAGGTCTTGAGTTACACAAATCAAAAGGGTGGGTGGGAAATAAAAGGAGAAAAGGTCTTTATAGAGAGGTGCATTCTTCTCTGTGAGCGCCACTGCGCCCTGCGCACACTGGCTTCTACTGCTGCTGGCCACGTTGTGAATTAGTTAAGTACTGGCACATCTGTCTTCTGTACTGGTTGTGATTTTCTTGTATCCCATCTTGCCAAGTCCAGAATCTGGTTAACATCAATGTAAATGTGTGTTGACTGTCTCTCTTTTCCCGGGCTCACACAGTGTCCAGCACCCATGCATCTGAGTTATTATACAGTGAGGACTTGGCTGGGGATTTAGCTCAGCGGCAAAGCGCTTGCCTGGCAAGCGCAAGGTCCTGAGTTTGGTTCCCGGTACCGGAGAAAAAAAACAAACAAACAAAAAAAAAAGTCACACTACAGTGAGGACTTGGGACTGCTGTCTTTCCGGAAGTGGAAAGCGCTTCCAAAGGGCAGACTCCAAGCCCAGAGCAGCGTTGACAAAGCTGCACCAGGGAAAGACCTCAATCTCCAAAACTACGGCGGAGGAAACAAGCCAGATCCTCTCCATCCAAAGAGGACACAGCCTAGGGACAGGAAGCAAGAAGCCCGGAAGGGGAGGGGAGTGGCGGAAAGGAACCCCTGCTACGGGACGTTTCTCCCATGTTACACCATAACCTGGATCACAGCAAGACTCTCAAAGCAAAGTCCTGCAAACTTAGCTCCCTGAAACACATCAAACTTGGCCCTGCAAAATGCCAGAATATTTAAAAAGAAAACAAACCTGGAATCATCCAGCTGACTGTCAACTGAGTCACTGGAAAAAGTCTTTCACCACCAATCTATTGTCAAGATGGGATGTATTTTCTGTTCCTGGAATTTGTCCCTAAAATCCGCCCGAACATCTCTTCTCTTTCAGGTTATCTCCCAGTCCATTTCTTATCTTTTCAACTTCTTTAGAAAAGCCCTCACCACTCAACTCCCAAGGCCAGTGCTACCTCGGCCTGCAACCCAACTGTGCCTGACAAGGAAAGAGCCAAATGTAAGAAAAAGCAGGAAAATCCACAGTTTATCACCTTCCCTCATACAATTCTTCGTACTTAGAGTTGAATTGTAGCTACCTCTAAAAATGGTTTCCAATTTTTAAAAAAGTCTTTCAGTTGTGAGAATTATACTGTAAATAATACAATGATTATCCCCAATAACTAAACTTTATTGAGCACTTACTACATGCCAGCGTCTGGTTGGAGCACTTTATCACTGTTCGTGTATTCAATCTTCAGAATAATGCTGCGTGACAAATTATTGTTGCCCTCATTTTACAGTGAAGGAAGTTCAACAGAAAGGCAACTCCCTGGTCCGATATTATATACAACTAGAAAACGCCAAGCAAAGTTTCCAGCAGGGCAGTCGGAGCTGACTGTCGGCCCATTCATACCCCGGCATGCAACCAGGAGGTTAAGTCTCATAGTCAGAGATGATGGAAACTCAATCATATTTTATTACTGTGAAGAGACATTGAGCTCTGAAATGTATAAACTTGGGGCACTGAACTCATTTATAAGATTTTTTTTTTTTTTTTTGAGACGGGATTTCACTCCGTACCCCGGTCTGGCCAAAAACTCACTGCAATCCTCCTGCTTCAGCCTTCCAGGTGGTAGGGTTACAGGTGTGCACCACCACACCGGGCCTCACGAGAGGAATTAAAATGGGCCTATTTTATCCCAAAAAAGACAACATGCTCAGACGAGGAATCAAGGGCCCTTCCAGATGAGCACTGCCCTGAGTTTATACCACGCTGTTCATTATCTGAGTCTCAAACTGTGAGCCCGACCCCGGCCACGCCCCGTCACCGTCCCGCCCGTCCGGTCACCGACCAGATCCCCATGCCACCCTCGGAAGGCCCGGAGGACGCGGACCCGGGCGGGGACAGGTGCGGA